CACGAAGCTTCGAGAATATGACGTGTTACTAGCGTCACGTGACCTCGATGACGCAACACTATGAAACATCCCTGACATTCTCATCATTTCACTTGATTGTTTATTACTTTCTTATTGATTTTCTTTTCTATCTACTGATCACTACGTTAAGATCGACGTATTTAGTGCAGTTAAATAGCTGATGTGAATACGTTTTTCTACTCAGAAAACAAAGAATTATTTCAGTCACATATGGGCAGGAGAGGCTTAGTGGCTACGAATAGAAAAATCCAAAGTTCGTGTCCCGATATGCGTCTGAACAAGCCTTATACTTTTAGCTTGGGAGGGGGTATTAGAGTCGCTGTGTAGACGGCAGTATTTCTGACTAATTGCCCTTCCTCTGCTCAACAACTCTAAAGTAGGAGTGACTATTCCTGAATCTTGTCATTCTTTTACACCAGATACTGATTTTAGGAGGTAGAGCAAATTCTCACACGAAACTGTGTTGAACTGTTTAACTGAGACCGAAACCTCTTAGGGTCCCTAAACTTCTACCCTCAGCATTAATATTTGATGTAATCCCAGTAATTTTTATGTTAAACTGGAATTTCTAAACAAGTTATTACTTTTGACAGATGTCTTTACAAAGCTATATTGGTCAGATAAATAATGTAGTGTTTAAAAACTGTAATAAGCTTAAGACTAATATCTTATCAGAATTATAATTTATTCATACTTGTAACATGCTACACATAATTTCAAACCACAATTTTGTATTTTTTTATTGAAGGGAACAATGTTAGATTCTCGTTTGGCAGACAACCTTATTTCATTTCTTTTCAGCCCCATTTAACTAGGCACTGCCTATTTCAGTCAGTTAACGTCATGGTTTTACCTTTCTCTATGTTCTTTCTTCCTGTTTTTTTTGGCAGGCCTTGGTTTTGTATTTTCCACATAGTACCCTTTGACAGATTGCACCTATGTACTTTCTCTATAGCTTCATTTAAAAGGATAGGATATACTATTCCCTTGTAATTCTACGTAGCAGAAATAGAAAGATATTTTTCAGCAATCAAGAAATGTCAGAAACTTTACGTTCTAAATGTAAAATAAGTAATACTTTTATTATATAAAATCTCTTATTCTGAAATGCCTCCCGTGACTCAACAGTAAGTCATGGGACTTATAATGCTAAAAAACCGGATTTCGATACCCGCAGTTCGCACAGCACAGATAGCCTTGCGCTTAACAACAAACAAACTTATTCTGAAACTTTGTGCCATGGTTATCTCTTAGTGAATAACTTCTTCAACTTGAAGGAATTGTTTTGATACGCTTACATGCATTATCTCTATCCACAGTAGATACATGTGATCTCAATCAGACCAATGAATTTGGTATGGTTTATTCGTCAAATAATTGGAATGTTGTATTTACTATCGAAGTCAGACAAAACCGCTTTTAACATACTGCAAGCTGATATCTTACCTAATTATTAACCAAGTTTGCTATTCCTTTCATACAATCAGTTAAATGTAATCTATATACACGCAAGCTTCTCACAAAGTGTATCAATGCTGAAGTGGTTCATGTCAAATACATACGTATGTTCATATACAGTCACTCCAGTTATACTAGTTGTAATTTTCAAAATCCAAAGTACTTCAGTTCTATCTTCTGCAGTAGATAACTCTTAATATGCATACAGTTACGTCAATATCAACAGAAATGGTCAAACCCAAATTAATAGATCTTCAGTACTATCTAATGTAGTGATTAGTACGTAAATACACAGTCATGCCAGTTCTATCCTTTGCAGGGATTAACATCCAAGTTTTATAAGTCACCTCAGTACTATATATTGTAGTGAGTAACGGCCAAAATACATAGTCACGCCAGTTATATCTGCTGTAGTGCGTAACGGCCAAAATACGCAGTGAATTGTGAATTTAATTGTACAAAACATTATTACAGAAATAAAAAAAGGCGATCAGTTTGTACTGATGGTCGTGGAATAATGCTACAAATGTCCTGTATTACATCTAAGTTGTTTGATCTCCTTTTGACCTTCTCAGTTTTCTCATAGCCCTACAACCTCAACAATGTTCATATTAGAATCTTATGTAAATCAAACTACAGTTGCCAATGTTCCACTGGCCTCTTTACCATTAACATATCGTTTCACCACAGATGCTGTGTACTTAAAATCACTGCCTTGCTAGGAGATGAATCCCCGCCTGATGAGTCGTTTTCCTGAGTAAATAGCATAGGGAACCAGAATCTGATTTTACCTGTCGGCAGTTAGGGTGTCATCATTATTGTGCAGAGCATTAAAACCGCTGGCCGAGATGTAGCCCCAAACTTGTATCAATCCCGTGTTATTATTCTCTGTAAATGCCTTTATTGACTACGATACCGTTCTCCTCTCCGCCGTTTAACAAATTGTTGTTGATTGTTATCAAACAATCCGAACTTTTATTCATCTGTAAAAAGCACACATCTCCTATTTTTTTTTTTTTTTTTTTTTCGGAGACTACGAACGAACGACACAGGGAGGTAGTAG